TTTTCCTGGGTCTCTAGAATTCCTGCACATCTTCTGAGCAGAAGCACTGGCTGCCTGTGCTCCAGGCTGCCTTTCCAAGGATGTTGGTATGATAAGCAGCCTTGACAGGTATGGAATCTCAGTAAGGGGGAGGGCAGGTTTGCTTCCAGAATTCGAAGGTAGGTATAGTGTTTTCCACCAGGGCAAAGGTCAGGCAAGCTTACTACCCCTTATTCAAGATTTGAGTTTCCTAACCTCAGGGCTCTTCACCTGTCCTCCTCATGTTTTCAGTGGGAACTGAGGTTTGAGGAATGGGTGCAGGTGCCGATACCCTGACCACTGCTACTGCTGTCAGTGCTAAAGCGTCCTCTCTCTGATCCAGGAGCCTCACGCCTCCTGCCATATCCATGAAAGGATGGCAGGCTAGTGTGTTAACTTGTAAGCAGGGAAAAATCTCAGACTTGATAATGCTTGATAAATGTATTTTGAAAACAAGTAAAATGTCTGCCTTTCCCATTGGCTCACCTCATGTCCTAAATACTTTTTCCCCAGAAAGCTACACTGGAAGGACCTGCAGCACAACCATTGTTTCAGGAGTCACACACCCAGAAGAGTCAGGCCACATCCACTCTGTCATTCCCAGACTCTGCCCAGATTTAGGGCCACCTCTGTGGTGGGAGAGACTTTAGCTCTTCCTCTTCCGGGGTCAATGTTAGCATAAGGACCCCATTCTTCCTCTTCCTCCTCCTCCTCCTCCTCCTCCCCTTCTTCCCCTTCTTCCCCTTCTTCCCCTCCTTACCCTCCTTCCCCTCCTTCCCCTTCTCCTCCTCCTCCTCCTCCTCCTTCTCCTCCTCCTTCTTCTTCGATGGAGTCTTGCTCTGTCCCCAGGCTGGAGTGCAGTGGCACAATCTCGGCTCCCGGCAACTTCTGCCTCCAGGGTTCAAGCGATTCTCCTGCCTCAGCAGGAGCTGGGATTATAGGTGTCCACCACCACGCCTGTTTAATTTTTGTGTTTTTAGTAGAGATCGGGTTTCACCATGTTTGCAAGGCTGGTCTCGAACTCTTGACCTCAGGTGTTGGGATCACAGGCGTGAGCCACCGAGTCCATCCGGCGGAAGACCCCATTCTTGAAGAACACACCCACCAGGCCCATGACCAGGTGTGGTTCCACCACAACATCTCCTGATAGAGTTCATGCTTGTCTCACAGAAATTCAGATCTGGACAAACCCCTAAAGACCGCTTTCCATCTCAGAAGGGAAACTTGGAAAGAAAGGCCTGTCCTGACATTTCCCAGCACATGGAGAGGAGTCCTTATGCCCATCATTCTCGTTCACATCGCGGGGTCCCGCTGACTGCGCAGCACCTGCCGCCAACCAGCTTGCGGCCACTGGGAGGCGCCGGAGGGAGGCCCAGCCAGGGCGCTTCTCACCTCCCGCTCAGGCAGCGCGGCTGCTGGGTTTCGGCGTCGCCCGCACCACCTCCCTCCGCAGGCCCAGAGCTTGCTGGGGATACTTCCCCATGTTGTTCCAGTTCCCACCAGGCGACTCTCCTTTGTTCCTGTAGTGCTAGGGATTTCAGCAGCAACTTGGTGCTGAGGAGCCCTGGATTGCCTGCTGTTCCCTGTTTGGTGTCTCAGCTGTTCCAGTGCCTTAGTAACCAGATCTAGGCAACAGCGACTCCGACCCACCACCTCGAGTGGGCAGGGCCTGCCTCCCCGCCTCTTCCCTCCTCCTTTCTTCCTTCTCTCCTCCTCCTCTTTCTCCTCCTCCTCACCCTCCTCTTCCTCTTCCCCTCTTCCTCCTCGTCCCCTCCTCCTCCTCCATTCTCCTCCTCTCCCCGCACCTCCTCTTACGCCCTCCTCTTCCCTGTCTCCTCATCCTCAGCCTCATTCTCCTCTTCCTTTTCCTTTTCCTCCTCCTGGCTTTTTTTTTTTTTTTTTTTTTTTTTTTTGCCTGACTGGCCTCTGGCAGAAACAGCCATGATCAAGAATGAATTTTTCTAAACCCGGTGCAAGAGTCTTTCCAGAAAGCTGTATTTTCTCTCCCTCTGCGGGTGTTAAACTTTCCTCAGTTTTGTTCTCCGCCTTTTTTGTATCTTTCCCTTTTCTTGCCTCAAGTTCTGTGTATACTTGGGAGCTGTCCTCCAAGACAGCCTTCTGGGTCTAGGGAGGGCCTGAATTTAAGCCGCTGTTGAGAACATGGTCATGGAACACCCATCACTAAAGCCATCGCTCGATAGAAAGGCAAGATTATGTTTGTTGCGGGGAAACTGCAGGCAGAGAAGCAGCAGAGCACAGCACGGACTCGGGCTTGGGCTGGCACCGCTGTGCTGGGCGCAGGCTCCAGAAGCGTGACGCCCTGTAAAGCCCTTCACTCTGTAGGCCAAATGGAAACATTTGGACAATTAGGAAACACTGGAAGCTTCCCAGTCAGGAAGTGACCTTGTGTGGAGAGAAGCCTCCGAAGCTTAGCAGCTAGTCTCAGTGTGTTTTATATTGACCAATTCAGAAAGCTAAGCCAGCTCTCTGCTAAATGAGGGAGGAAATAAGCCCGGAGCCAATCTATGAAGTCTGCCTAGCCCTGCTTTGAATGGAGTTGTTAGTTAAGTGTTTCTTATAAGACTATGTGCTTGTGCTACAAGCAAACCCTCCATTCATGCATCCAAAAGATAACTTTGGGTCTCATAATATATGAGTGTTGTTTCTGTCCCCACGGTTTTTCCGCTGCCAAGGCAGCGGAGATTTCTGCCCTCATATTCAGCCTCTGAGAGCCCTGAGGGAGTCCCGGGTCTTCCTGGCCTCACAACTTGACTCTATAGTTGCGACCTTCCTTTCACAGCTGCTCCCATTGCACTTCTCAGGTTCTCCCAAAGCTGGCTTCCACACCCACTAGGGGCTTTATCCTGGTGACCCTTCCATAGATTAGGGAAAAAAGAAGCAGCTTTTGCTCATCTGTGGAGAGTCAAGGTTTCCAAGGAGCAGCAACTAGGACTATTCAGATCTCCGGGAGGTCACTGAGCCAACGGTGCAGAGAGGCCTGAGAGCAGGACTTCAAGGCCTGGGTCAACCTCCAAGGCTATTTTGAGACTGTGAACAAACCAATCTTATGTTATGCATCTACGAGTTTCCACAGAAACATACATTCCTAGAACGGAACCACTGGAGGCTTTAAAGTGATGAGTTTCATCCATATCGGTGAATATGAAAATTTAACTTTATGTATCAGTCTTAACCGAGTAATTTCATTCTATTTGTATTTAGGTACTTTACAGAAAAGCACCTAAAACATTTGTTACCAAGACATACCAATCAATAAAAATCTATTCAATGCATATTCAGGCACTGGGGCAGATACAGAGCTCTGAGAAGTCAGCAATGCTTGGGTATTTCAAAAAGCAGAGACAGAACACCCATAAACTGTTTCACCTGTCAGCACGCCTGTAATAAAATCTTTCCCAAGAAAACTGGCTTTCCAAATCCAAAACCTCTTCTGCTCACTATGTCCTTGGCCATGGGTTCATCATTCTCTCTGAGGCTGACTCTGATGGATTCATATGCTTGCCCTGGATACTGGCCTGGAACCAGCCGAGATTTCTACCAGGTCTCTGTCCCCCATCCTGAAGATCAGTCAGGCCCTGAGATACCCATTTCTGTACTATCTAGGCAGCGCCCTGAGGAGGTAGTGTTCTAGAGTACCTGGGCAGCCACCTGGGAATAGGATTTTCCTGCATGCTCCTTGGTGCAAATTGCATGTCTCCTGGGCCCTCTCACTCATCATGCTTCTGATGTGTCCCCACCACCTCTAGTCCCACATCATATTTCTCCTTCATATTCCCTTCCCTTTCACAGCCTCCAAGAACCTCTGCCACCTCTAACCCCCTGGACACACTCCTCCCTCTGCACCCCATCACTCAGGGAGCTGTGCGCTTCCCTCCAAGATGGTCTTCCTCCTTGTCTACCCCTTACTTTCCTGACCCCTCCTTCCAGGGCACCAAGGCCTCTCCAGAGCCATCTGCAGGAGCTTGTGACTGGCCTCCCACCTCTGTCCTCTCACCTCCTGTAGCTGGGTAATGCTCCAGCATGTTCCTTGTTAATACCCTTCAGGTGCTCCCTGTGCCGTTAGGCAAAGCTTGAATCCATCAGCCAACAAGGCCCTGTGTGCTGTGCCTTCTCCACACTCCCACTCTACCTTTCCTGAATGTATTTCCTCAAAGTACCCAGGACCTGCCAGCTCTGAATTCTCACTGCTCCTGGATCATGTGTATATGATCTTCCTGAGACCAGAGAGTGTTCCCACAGGGCATGAGCACCATGGCCTGCTGTGACTCCCAGTGGCTTCTTCCCTAGACTGTAGCTTCCAGAGCTAGCCCCTCTGTTTTTTTTTGCTGGATTCTGGTTGTCTAGCACAGTGCCTGGCATATAGTGAATGAGTAAATGCACAATGAATCCTCACCTATATTTCCTGCCTCACTCAACTGCATTTCAATCCCAGCAATAGCGTTTGCAGTTTGTAAAGGCAGGCCTTTGCTTCTGAGAGCCTCTCAGCCCTGTAAGGTATGACTTTACTTCGACTTCTATTGAATCCCTACATTCCTCCTACACCCAACAAAAATTCCTTCTTCATCTAAACATTCTCAAATTTCCCCAGCTCTAATTTGTAATTTATTAGTTGAATTGAATCCAAGATTGAATAAGAGACCATAGAGGGAGAGAGGGCTCTGAGCCCTGTTCCTTGGATCATATTAAGTGTGGAAGCTGGGGAAATACTGCCCCAGTTCTGCTTTCTTCCTGGAAATTCCCATTGGCCTGATGAAGCCTGATGGGTTCCCCAGGGATGCGGATGGAAATACTTAATGCTCTATTAGGGCATTTAGAAGACTGCAACACCACACTCACCACTGGCAGAATTGGCCAGCCTGACTCTCTGCATCGTCTAGTAATGTTATGGCAAGCCAGGCTCCTATTGACTCCAGCGAAATGGCACCATGTCTGAGAAGACAAAGAGGACACTCAGAGACAGCGAATGAGACATAGGGTTTATTGGGGGAACTTACATACAGGGATGGTCCAGTGGCAGCGGGCTGGACAAGGGAACCACCACTGTTTGTAAAAAACATGCAGTTTATATAGCATTTTCACTTAGCACCCTCCACCTAGCAACCACCATCTAACCCAAAACAAAAGGCTTTGATCCCCTGTACAACCTACGTTCCAAAAGATGGCTGGGGGGTTCAGGTGTCCTTCACAGTTAAAGTATGAAACTCCAGGTTAGCCACTCCCAGATTTCTTAGCTTGGGACTCTGAACACACATTCTTCTTAGACCATAATATCATTCTCAGTGTATTTGCTTAACTTGTTATCTTGTTATTGCTGTCAGGTGCGTCTGCATAAACATTTCCTCTGTGTATAGTATATAAGGCCTTGCAGGTGTTGCTTATAGCCAGCAAGTACCCAGGACTTTATATCGTTGTATCTCTTCTCCCTTCCCTTGGTTAAAATAATTGCCTGAGGCCCAGTTACAGTTTGCACTCTCGCAAGCATCAAACCCTGGTGCTGCTGAACTTGAGAGATGGCAAGGGAGTGACTGTACCATTTCAAAATCCAGAATCTGTGTAGTAAATACTCTGTGGAGTGGCCAGATAGACTTTGGCTGGGCTGACAGAGAGCCAACCAGTGCAAACATGCAGAGATTAAAATAAAGCAATAAAATGAAGGCATGTGCATAGTGATGACAGGACAACCAAGCTTTATTAAAATTATTCTGATATTATTCTTGGTAAATATATTTTTGAAAAAGCCAATTAAATTTATATGAAGAAAAATATATTAGATCAATTTATTTTCAAACTGTACTTTGACTATTGATAATTTTTTTTAATTTTTGCAGATAGGTGCATTTCTCTTCTTATAAAAAGAAAACAAGAATTCCATAAAGCTGTGTTTCCTAGGTGAAATGGTGGGGCAATACCACTGTGCAATGTTTAAAGTTTGACCATGAAGGTTGAGGATTCCTCTTGGGGTGTTTAGAGTTTAAAATATTTGGATTTCAAAATTAGAAGATAATTATATAGAAGCAAGGAATGCTGCATGGAGCTTCGATATTAAATAAGCTATCTTTAGAGACATTTGGGATAATAACCTGGCGCCCATGCACAGAGGACTGACTTGACCAATAACTGCCATCAAGCACTGGGAAAGCATTTACAGGTAAATCCTCTCCTGGCGGGGGAAACAATAGTGTGAGGGCTGACAGGTATAGCAAAGGGACTCAGGGATTTGCATTGACTTCTCCTAGCAAAGTGACCTCAGTGTTTTGTATCTTCTTGTGTCAATGAAGCAGGAAGCTCTCAGCCAACATTTGTCCGCTTTTCAGTGTCCTCTGGATTGTTCCGCAGCCTCAGCTTAGTTTCCAGCTTCTGCTTCCATTCTTCTCTGAGCCTGAAAATAGAAACCAAACACACACAGATGGAGCACTCATCTCCACGGCTGTTGGTTCAGGAGAGCTTTCTTCCTCTCCTACCAGTCGCTGAAATTACGTGTATGTGTTCAGGTTTTAAAAGTCATGCAGAGGACATGCAAGTTTAAATATATATATTTATAATTTACTCATATTTATTTATTTATATAAGTGTGAGTAAACAGGTTCTCATTTTTGTTAAAAGTACTTAATCTTACTTCTCTGAATTTTCCTTTGAAAATGTATTTAATATCTTTCAACAGCAGAGGTGAAATAAAGATATTTTTAGATATACGCAAACTGAAAGAAATCACCAGCAGACTGTCACTATGTGACATGTTAAAGGAGTTCCTTCAAACAGAAGGAAAGTGACACAATATGGAAATCTGGATGTACACATGGAATGAAGAGCATCTGAAAAGCAACGATGTGGTTATATATTAATACTTTTTAAAACTACTTAAATCTCTTTAAAAATAGCCCACTGTGGTCAGGCACAGTGGCTCATTCCTGTAATCCCAGCACTTTGGGAGGCCAAGGCGGACAGATCACAAGGTCAGGAGTTCGAGACCAGCCTGGCCAATATGGTGAAACCCCGTCTCTACTAAAAGCACAAAAATTCCCTGGTCATGGTGGCGGGTGCCTGCAGTTCCAGCTACTCGGCAGGCTGAGGCAGGAGAATTGCTTGAACCTGGGAGGCGGAGGTTGCAGTGAGCCGAGATCGCGACATTGCACTCCAGCTTGGGCGACAGAGTGAGACTCTGTCTCAAAACAAACAAACAAACAACAAAAAAAAAAAACAAAAAAAAGAGCCCACCGTTGAAAGTGAAACTGTTAATGATGTACTGTGGGGTTATAGCATATGTAGAAGTAAAGTTGTACTTTGTACAATAGCATAAAGGCCAAGAGGGGAGAAATGAGAATATACCATTTTAAGGTTCTTATGCTACACAAAAAGTGATAAAATATCACCTGAAGGCGGGCTGTGATAAGTTAAGGATGTGTACTATATATCCTAAAGCAACCACTAAACACAAAGAGCAATAGTTAAAAAGCCAACAGAAGAGATAACATGAAATCATAAAAGGTACTCACTTGATCCAAAACAAGGCAGAAAAAGAGAAAAAGGGAATAAACAACAGATGAGAGAAATAGAGGACACATAGCACGATGGTAGATTTAAAACAAATCATACCAATTAATGTTAATGGTGTAAACAATGCAATAAAAATGCAAAGACTGTCAAATTGGATTTTTAAAAGACAATATCTAAATATATGCTGCTTATAAGAAATCCACTTTAAATATGAAGACAAAATAGGTTAAAAGTTAAAGGACGAAGAGATAGTCCATGCTAAACCTAATTAAAGAAGGCTGGTGTGGTTATATTAATATTAAAGTAGTTTTCATAGCAAAAAATATTACCAAAGAGAAAGAGGGTCATTTTGTAATAAGGGGGTCAATTCGTCAAGATGATATAACAATCTGAAACATTTATGTACCTAATAACAGAATTTTGAAATACATGAAGCAAAATGTGATGGAACTGCAAGGAGAAGTAGACAAATCTGTAATTATAGCAGAGATTTCAATACTCATCTTTCAATAATCAGTAAAACAAGTATACAAGAAATTGATAAGGATATAAAACACTTGAACAACACTATCAACCATCTTGATATTTATAGAATATTTATAGAATATTCTCCCTAACAACAGCAGAACACACATTCCTTTCAAACATACATGGAATATTTACGAAGATATAAAACAAGTCTCAATAAATTTAAAAGGGTTCAATATGTTCCCTGTCTGCAATAATTAAATTAGCCTTAATAACAGAAAGATATCTGGAAAGTCCCTTAAATATTATGAAACTAAATAACAAATTCTAAATAACCCATAAATCAAAGAAACAACCATAAATTGAAATGAAAAAAATCAATTATAATAATATCAAAAATACAAAATAGAGGTAAATCTGACAAAAGATATATATGACTCATGTGCTGAAAACTGCAAACCATTGCTGAGAGATATTAAAACAGACCTAAATAAAGGGACATATATATTGTGTTCATATATCAGATACTCTAAATATTGTTAGGACGTCATTTCTCCCTAAATTGACCTATAGATTCAATTCCATCCCAATCAAACCAGCAGGCTGTTTTACATAACAGAAATTGACAAGTTGATTCCAAAATTCATATGAAAATGCAGAGAACCTAGGATAACTAAAACAACTTTGAAAAAGAAGAAAAAGTTGTAAGACTTACACCACCTGACTTCAAGAATTATTGTAAACCTAAGTAATCAAAACAGTGTGACATTGGTGCCAATGGATAAATAGATCAATGGGACAGAAAAGGTCCAAAAACATTCCTACACATAGATGAGTTATTAATTTTCAACAAACGTGCAAAGACAATGTAGCAGAGAAAGGATAGTCTTTTCAACAAATGGTGCTGGAACCACTGGATATGCAAAAAAAGTGAACTGCAGTCTGTACCTCACATTATATTAAAAATTAAGTCAAAATATATTATTAATCTAAATGCAAAACTTAAATTCATAAGACTTCTAGAAATAAAACAGAAGACAATCTTTGTGACCTTGGGATAGGCAAAGTCTTCTTAGAGACAACAAAAGCAAAATCTATAAAAGAAATTTTTTAGACTTGATCAAAACTGAGAACATCTCTGCAAAAGAGTAAACCCAAAGAAAATGAAAAGAAGACAATGACGAAGATGAGAGAAGAAACTAGTAAAATAGTTCTTATCTATTAAGGAGATATGGATATCAATTCAAACAGTAAGAAAAAAATAGAAAGGAATACAGAAAAAGGGAAACTGTAAAGCACTCTAAGTAACTAAGATGGTAGAAATAAGCCAGTTACAATAAATGAAAAAGGACTAAACTCACCAATTTATACTAAAATATGTCAGATTAGAAAAACATCCAATCCAACTATGTCCTTTTTTTTTTTTTTTTTTTTTTTTTTTTTTTTTTTAAGAAAGCGGGGTCTCTGTTCCAGGCTGGAGTGCAGTGGCACTGTCACGGCTCACTGCAGCCTTGACCTCCCGAGGCTCAAGTGATCCTCCTATTTCAGCCCCACTCCTCCTTCCCCACTCAGTAGCTGGGACTACAGGCTCGTGGCAGCACGCCTGGCCAATTTTTGCATTTTTTATAGGGACAGAGTTTTGCCATATTGCCCAGGCTGGACTCAAACTCAAGTGTTCTACCTGCCTTGGTTTCCCAGACTGCTGGGATCACAGGCATGAGCCACCGTCCTCAGACAACAAGGTGCTGTTTAAAAAAGACACATCTAAATTATAAGGACAGAGATAAGTTGAAAATAAGAAGACAGAAAAAAGATATATAAGGCAGATGCTAATAAAAACAAGATTGGTTTGGCTATGTTGACAGACTTAATATAAAGTCTGTTAATACAGTTATAAAGTCTGTTGATAAAAAGATCTTCAAAGAAAAAATCATCAGGGATAAAGTCACTGCCTAATAATAAAAAGGCTCACCTCACCATGAAGATATTACACTTCTGAACATGCATGCACCTAATAAAATAGCCTCAAAATACATACAGAAAAAATTAATGGAACTACTTGGATTGTGAAGAGGTGGTGAGCAAGAAGGGAAAGGGAAATTGCACTCTTCTTTTTTTTTCAAAATAACATTGTTTAGAAAACCTTTATAGTAGAAGATTTCAAGCATATAAAAAAGTAGAGAAACTAGTAATAAAGAACTCCCCTATAGCTACTCCCCAGCTTCCCCAGCTTAAGGCTGATCTCCTTTCCCACACCTCCCTTCTCCTGCATAATAAACAAAATAACTGTATTTAGCTATTTTGTCCTTAAAGTTAATAACTCTTTTAAAAAGAAACTACCTTGCCATTATCACACTTAAAACATTAACAGAAGGTACTCGATATCATGAAATAAATATTTCATTGGTTCACAACTCTGAATGTCTTTTAATGTTGAATGTTAGGTTGGTTGAATCAGGACCCGAATAAAGCGCATACATTCCTATTTGTTGCTACATCCTTTAGGTTTTCTTTAATCTGGAAATTCTCCCTCATCTTTTCCCTTCCCTTGTAGTTTTTTTTTTTTTTGAAACCAGATTGTTTGTTCTGGAGAGTAGGCACAGTTTGAATTTTGCTGACTGTATTCCTGTGTGACTCTAACCCATTCCTCTGTCTGCTGTATATGCTGTTAATTAGTGGCTAGCACTAGAAGTTTGATTATTTTATTTTATTTTATTTTTGACAAACTACATCACCAGTGATTTGATGGACGGCCATCAAATCTGTCTGGTTGTATCTTTCTTTTTTTTTGATGTTAGCGGATATTAATGATCATTAGATCCAATTTAATTTCATTAGGTGTTGTCAAATGTCAATAGCTTCTTTCTACCCGTCGCTTTTCACATGTGTTTGGAGCCTAGAGCCATGGGGGAGGGGCCCTGCAGCAGGAGCTGTAGTCCAGGAGAGATGAAGTCACTGCCAGAAAACAGGACCCAGAGCAGGAAGGGTGTGGAGAAGAAATAGGCAGACTTAGCCTCCAGTCCTCTCATCTCCTGTTGACAGAACCTAGCCAGAAGCTGAAGGACAAGGTGATTCAAGGACTAGAATGGGAAGAGGGGTCAGCTGAGGGAGGAGAATTAATGGTGATGGGGGTCAAAGCAGATCAGCCTGGCAGGGAAGACAGGAATGGGAGTGAGTCCTGGACCAAAGTAAGTAGGCAGCAAAGACCCATCTAAGAGCCAATTCCACGGTTTTCTTGGATCCAGTCAAGCATGCTTTTCTTGAGCACCTATTATATATTCAGCACTGCAGTATGACTTTGGAGAATACACAAGCAATATATAAAAATGGTGGTTTCTCCATTCCATAAATAGGGCAAGTTGTTCCCTTGCCTCAGGGTGTTTGCACATAGCATTTCTTCTGCCTAGAATGCTCTTGTCCATTCTCCCACCTTTGCCCAACTCTCTTCCCTAAGAGAGGAGGTTGGGGGGTGCCATCCTCGTTACCTGGAGGGCTGGACCTCAGAGTGTGGGCTGCCAACTCCAGCATGCCAACACATCTCATTGAGCTGCTGGTGCCCAAGGGCCAAGTGAACCAGCTCTGAAGCTGGGGCCCCAGAAGACTGCAGAAAAAAACGCTCAGACCCTGTAGTGGGCAGGTGGAAGATGGCAGCATCTGTGTCACCTCCCTGACCGTTCCAAAATGGGGGAGGTTTGTGCACACCCCTGTGTGCATCGGTAGCCCAGGTGCTCCATCTGCTAATGAAAGAAGACGATCAAGTTTGCGCTCCCTCTGCCCACGCTCAAAGGGCAGTAACTCGCCAGCATCCCTCTTCCTTCTCTTAGTGTCTCTTTCTCCATGATTAAAATAGCGATGAGGACACTGAGACCCAGGGAGATTTGGTTGCTCACCCTGGACCCAGAAGGATGAGCCCAGGCAGCTGGCTGCAAAGTCTCTGCTGTTCACTGCAATTCTGAGCTTGTTCCCACCCTTGCTCACTCTTGCAATTTTGTTTTCATCTTGTTTTTCTCCCCCAAGGGATGTCTTCCTTTGGCGTATTGCTGCTGCCATATTAGATCCTGGATTGTTAAATGGGAGTGCAGAAGAGGGAGGGGAACTAACATTCCTGAGCCCTGACCTTGGGTTTGGCACCAGGCTGGGTGTTGTCGGTACATTTCCATAGTCAAGCCTCCTAACAGCCCAATGATCAGGGACTTTATTTTTCCATTTTGTGAAGGGACAACATAGAGTGTTAATTAGAGCAGCGCCTCTGGAGCCTGGCTACCCAGATTCAAATCAGAAGAGGGCGAGGAGAACAAATAAGTTAAAGTCTTCTGCCACCCTATCGACCAAAAAGTTTACATCCTTGCATTCTTTTGTTATATGCATAGATACTGCGTGTGTGTGTGTGTGTGTGTGTGTGTGTATATATATATATTTTTTTTTTTTGAGACAGAGTTTTGCTCGTCGCCCAGGCTGGAGTGCAAAGGCAAGATCTCGGTTCACCACAACCTCCGCCTCCCAGGTTCAAGTGATTCTCCTGCCTCAGCTTCCTGAGAAGCTGGAATTATAGGCGTGGCCACCACACCCAGCTAATTTTGTATGTTTAGTAGAGACGGGGTTTCTCCCTGTTGGTTGGGCTGATCTCAAACTCTCCACCTCAGGTGATCCGCCTGCCTCGGCCTCCCGAAGTGCTGGGACTACAGGCGTGAGCCACCACGCCAGGCTGCATGTATATATTTTTAGTATTTTAACAACCTGCACAATTTGCTTCAGAGGCTATTTTGTTCACCCCTTGGCTTGTGCCTCTCTTGGAGCCTTTGGTTTCTGCATATTCCTCAGGCCAATTTCACTTCACCTGAGGCCTTTTGCCTGCTCCCCAGGGAACGCACACATGGTACAGGACTCTGAGCGGCCTAGCCTGGGGGACGAAGGTGGCAAGAACTGCAGAAACGACTGGCCGCCCAAGTCAGCTTTCTATGCCCTACTACTGTACTTCAGCGGGTGGGATGGTAGTCGGGAATAAGGCTGAGGAGGTCTCCGTAAGTGGGAGGCTGGGTTCCCCTCTAGGGTTCAGGAGGAGCTTTGGGAAGGCAGCAGTGAGTTTACCGCCTGTGAATTAAGGCACGTCGTCAGTCCAGTAGCCGTGGAGTCATGGGCCCTGCCGTCTGAACAGCACACAAGGTCTCATACTCCCTTACCACACATAAGCCATGGCCTCCTCAGACAGCTGGCTGAGCTGTTCCCTTTGAGGGGACAGAGCTCAAAAGGGTGGTCCCTCCCTGCAGCCCATGATGGCTTTCTGCAATGTGTGTGTGAGGGTAGCGAGCCTGCACTGCTTCCACAGCAAGGTGACCGTCGTTTCCCACGGGAGTCAAGTCACTGCACTCCACTGCTCGGCAGACTCACCGGGCCAGAACAGGGATGCACACAAAGAGAGACCCCGCCTTCCCCTCCAGGAACCACGCAGGGCATCTTGTGTTTTCACCCAAATGGGCGCTGAGAACCGGGCACTACTTTCTTTGCTTGATTGCTTTTCACAGACACAGTGTTTGCCCCCCCACCCCCGCCCCATTTACTGTAACCCTCATGTGCTAGAAGGTAACATGGTGACAGAGAGGAGAGAGTTTTCCAGTTCATAAAGATAAGAATTAAAGGACTGTAAGCACAGAAAATTAAAATAATTACCTCCTCTGAGATGCCCATCTGGCATTCTTCTGGGGAAATTAATTTTGCTCTTACAAAACAGACAAGATAATAATGGCTTGAAAGTCAGTGAAAGTTCATTGACGGTCACAAAGGTACCACTGGTGCAGAGGTTGATAGTAGGACAATTGTGTGGGGGCTCAGGGAACTCTTTGTACCTTCTGCTTAATTTTGCTTATAATTTAGAACCTGAAACTGTTGTAAATTATAAGATGTATTTTAAAAATGAATTAATTCTAAAAAGTAGACAAGCCACATACTTTCTCAGTGCGCTTCTTCCCAGACGATGTTCTTCCGATTCTCGGTAGTAAGTCTGTTTACCAATTTCCCTTTCCCAGAAACGCTTGAGATCATGGCAGGTGTTCTGGCAGAAGACCTCCCGACGGGTGTATTGATTGTTCATCCCCTAAAAAGGAAAATAGCCATACAAATAACCAAAAAACATATGAAGAAATGCTCAACATCATTCATCATCAGGGAAATGTAAATTAAAACCACAATGAGATACCATCTTACTCCAATCCACCTTACTCCAATCAGTCAAAAAACTGATAGGTGTTGGTGCAGATGCAGAGCAAAGAGAACACTTATATGCTGTTGGTAGGAATGTAAATGAGTACAACCTCTTTGGAGAACAGTATGGAGATTTCTCAAAGAACTGAGAGTAGATCTACCATTCGATCCAGCAATTCTGACTACTGGGTACCTACCTAAAGGAAAAGAAGTAATTATATAAAAAAGATACCTGCATGTGTTTGTTTATCACAGCACAATTCACAATTGCAAAGATACGGAGTCAAACTAAGTGCTCATTAACTGATGAGTGGATCAAGAAAATGTGTGTGCGTGTGTGTGTGTGTGTGTGTGTGTGATGGAATACTACTCAGCAATAAAAAAGAACAAAATAATGTCTTTTGCAGCAACTCGGATGGAACTGGAGGCCATTATCCTAATGAAGTAACTCTGGAATGGAAAACCAAATACTGTATATTCTCACTTATAAGTCGGAGCTAAGCCACGGGTTCATAAAGGGTTTATAAACAGAGTGGTATAATGGGTATTGGGGACTCAAGGGAGAGAGGTTGGGGATAAAATGTCACTTATTGGGTGCCATGTACACTATTTGGGTGACAAGTGCACTAAAAGCCATGACTTAAACACTATACAATTTACCCATGTAACAAAAACCCACGTGTACTCCTAAAGCTATTGACGTAAAAAAATAGAAGCTGAACCCCCATAAAACATGATCCCTGAGACTCTGCAGGGTATAGGCATCCTGACCCTGCTGTTGATGTGAGGGATACCTGGCCAGCCCCAGGACCTCTGCAAGTGGGAGGACAATGGTGGCCTCAGTGCTTGCTGCTGGCTGGTTGTCAGGACACAGTGAGATGTGAGTGCAAGCCTCCCACAAGCTGGCACCTGGCAAACGCCTCTGCCCTTCCTTCCTCCTCACAGAAGAATCATTTCTCAACTTCCAGCGGCAGGAACACGCACCAGGAATTTTGTGAACCTAAGTCCATTTCGTTATCACAACAGCTACATGAGATGGCCATGACCTTCATCATCTTCTAGGTGAGACATTTGAGGAGTGACAGGCTTCAGACTTCTGAAAGTTTCCAGGGCCTTTACTGAAGGGGTTTATCAGAGAAAATGGTTCCAGTGCCTGACACCCCCAGGGCAAGCTGCTTTGAGGTGTATGTGTTTGTGTGCGCATGCACACATGTGGGCTCTTGTGTGTGGAATTATACGTATCAGACACTCAAAATGCTCACTTTTTTACATGCAGAAACTGCTCGACTTTCAGACCAGCTGAGTGGATACAGTAGAAAGCTCAAAAGCAGGGACTGCAGAAGCTCCTGTCTGCTGGTGGGAACCGCTGCAGAAGAGTGTGGGGAGATGGGAGCCTGGAGAAGCCGGCCTGGCATGCCCCAGAGAGGATTTGGACCTTATCCCAGGAAGGGCTTTCAGTGGGGAAATGGTGGGTCCAGACAGGCATTTTGCCAGATGTTCTGGGGGCAGAGACTGGAGAGGTGAGAGCGTATGCAGGGGGAGAAGTGACTGGGCTGCTGGAGGAGCCCAGAGAGATGCTGTGACCAGGGTGGGAGGGGCAAGGATGATGAAGAGTGGACAGATTCACAGGAAACTCTGCGTGGAAAATGAAGGAGAAGGGCTGCCAGTGGGTACAGCCCTGGCTCTGCCTGTGCACAGATGGGAAATGTAGGAGGAGGAGGGCTATGGGGAGTGGGCTCAGGCTGTGCTGGATGGATGGAGTTTGAGTTTCCTGGGTGCCGACCCCCAGGGGGAAGCAAGGAGGGGTGCCTGACACATGGGTCTGGAACTCAGCATAGAGGTCTGTGCCACAGGTCTCAGAAAGACAGACAGGGACAGCGGGGCAAGGTAGAAGGAGAAAGGGGTTTGAAGCCAGATGTTCACTCCAGACCTGCGTTTCCACTGCCTTGATGTGCCGTCTATTTGTCACATGGGTTCTCCTGGCCTCAGTTTTCTCATCTTTAAAATTTCTCTGAAGGCCAAGTTTGACTCCAAATGTGAAAGTGTTCTGCAATTTATAAAGTTCTGAATAAATGTAACCGATGAGCTTGGTCCTCACCCACTGATTTTTCTGACTGTTGTCTGGCATAGGGAATCATTAGTCCAGCATAGGGACATCATTAGTCTGAGCTAATTAAATGTCACTGAAAACCCTGAATAACTGTGAATCTTTATTTACACACAATATTGAGTGTGTGGCTTCTTGGGTATATGACAGATTCATTTATCTCTATCCTTGGTCTGTTGGCCACCATTTAGGAAAGCTTGGATGACAGTAGAAGTTCTTAAGTTGAACCATGTACTACGTACGGCCATGCCCAGAGGAGCATTGGGTAAGAGCGTTTGTGCTATATTCTTTCACTTCTCATATGTCAGAGATAAGCCTCACCACGCCCACTCACTGGGAGGTGTCCCACATGTGTAAAATGGGAGATACATGTTTTTCTAAGAAATAGCAGAGCTCCCTCTGGGTTGAAGAGTGACATCCATCTCTACCTCCGTCTGCATAACAGTATTTTACAAACTAGCTGTGTGTGTGTGTGTTTTGCTGGAAAATGCTGCTGACACAATGGTGAAAACAAGTAAAAGCTCTAAGAAAAAATGCATTTCACTTTTTTTTTTTTTTTTTGAGACGGAGTCTCGCTCTGTCGCCCGGGCTAGAGTGCAGTGGCCGGATCTCAGCTCACTGCAAGCTCCGCCTCCCGGGTTCACACCATTCTCCTGCCTCAACCTCCCGAGTAGCTGGGACTACAGGTGCCCGCCACCTCGCCCAGCTAGTTTTTTGTATTTTTTAGTAGAGACGGGGTTTCACCGTGTTAGCCAGGATGGTCTCGATCTCCTGACCTCTTGATCTGCCCGTCTCGGCCTCCCAAAGTGCTGGGATTACAGGCTTGAGCCACCGCGCCCGGCCGCATTTCACTTTTAAACAAACTACCTTGTCTCAACTTGTTTTAGTCATTGTCCTTACTATGGGCAGAACTGTAGTGGCTACTATCACCAATTTTGTAGTTTCAAGGAAACACAATTAATGATAAGTTTAGAAAAACACTTTTAGGAAAAGATAAAAATAAAGCAGAAAGAGGGGATTAAATATGTTTAGGCCAGGTGCAGTGGCTCATGCCTGTAATTCTAGCATTTTGGGAGGCTGAGGCTGGAGGATCACCTGATCCCAGGAGTTTGAGACCATGCTGGGCAACATACAGAGATCCCGTCTCTACAAAAATAAAAAATAAAAAATTAGCTGGGCGTAGTGGTATGTGCCTGTGGTCCCAGCTATTCAGGAGGCTGAGGTGGGAAGATTGCTTGAGCCCAAGAGGTCAAGGCTGTAGTGAGCCATGTTTGTATCACTGCACTCTAGCCTGGGGGACAAAGTGAGACCCTGTCACAAACAAACAGACAAACAAACAAATATGTAATATCCCATCCTTCTTCACTCTAAAGGGCTGACACTGGGATAAGACAGGGCCCTTCCTCAGGGGACTTCAGATAACAGGGAGTGAGGCACTGGCACTGCATATGATAGGCACTGAAATGGGACACACAAGGAGGGTGCCCTGACCTGGCCAAGGCTTTGGGGCTCCTTCTAGGGGGAGGGACTTGCAGGATGAGTGGACAGGAGCACCCAGGGTGCAGGAAGTGGTCTGTGCAGAGACCTGCAGTGGGAAGCTTGCAGAACAAAGGGTTGCAGAAACAGATTGGGGATTGCCTGAGGTCGAGTTGCGGGAGGGGACTGAGGGCAAAGGAGCATGGGGGCTCTTTTTAGGATAATGGAAATGTTCTGTGTCTTGTTTATTAGTTATTTATTTATTTTTTAAGAGGGAGTTTCGCTCTGTCACCCAGGTTGGATTGCAGTGGCACGATCTCAGCTCACTGCAACCTCCATCTCCTGGGTTGAAGCAATTCTCCTGCTTCAGCCTCCCGAGTAACTGGGATTACAGGTGCCTGCCACCACCCCTGGCTAATTTTTGTATTTTTAGTAGAGACAGGGTTTCACTATGTTGGCCAGGCTGGTCTCAAACTCCTGACCTCAGGTGATCCGCCTGCCTCCACCTCCCAAAGTGCTGGGGTTACAGGTGTGAGCCACTGTGCCTGGCCTGTATCATGTTTATAGTGTTGATGATATAGCAGTATACAATTGCTAAAACTTACCAAACTCTATATTTTAAATGAGTGAATTTCACTACATGTAAGTGATTCCTCAGTAAACATAGGGGAAAAGCTTTTTCTGTCTTTGGACTAGAAGTTCAAGTTCCCTGGGCTGGGCACGGTGGCTCATGCCTGTAATCCCAGCACTTTAGGAAGCCGAGATGGGTGGATCACTGAAGGTTCGAGATCAACCTGTCCAATATAGTGAAACCCCATCTTTACTAAAAATACAAAAAATTAGCCGGGTGTGGTGGTGGGTGGGAGCCTGTAGTCCCAGCTACTCGGGAGGCTGAGGCAGGAGAATGGCGTGAACCCAGGAGGCGGAGCTTGCAGTGAGTCAAGATCGTGCCACTGCACTCCAGCCTGGGTGACAGAGCGAGACTCCATCTCAAAGAAAAAAAAAAGAAGTTCAAGTTCCCTGGCTCTAACCTACCGGGAGACTCTGTTAGCATCTTATCATTAGGATTTAGCCCATTTCTTCACAAGTAACGTGTATTTCTGTGAGTATTTGTGTTTCGATTTCCTAGTGTCTACAGTGAAGACAACTGCTCCTCTTAGTAGAAGTGTGATGAGGAGACTATCCATAGTTGGAAAGCTCTTGATAAGTAAATAGCTCTATTCCTCTGTATCCCCTCAGCCCAAAACGCCATCCAACCTTGTGCTTGAGAGAATTCGTGCTGCTGCGTCCAGTCAATCAGCACCAACTTGGATGAACCATAACCTCTGTAACCCTTAGGAATTTTACTTCACAAAATCAACAATTAACGCTTACAGAGAACAACCGCATGAAGGGCTGTGAAGACATTGATTCGGTCAAACCAAATGTGTCGCACTTGACCGCCTGTGAGGCATCTGTGCTGCCCCAGGAGCCAACTCACATTCGGCAAATTGACGGGAACAAAGGAACATTTGTCCCTTGTGAGCCTTAACGCTGTGCCAGCAATTTGATTTCCCAAGTCTCGGTTACCCAGAGTATTAAACTCAAATTGAGAAATCTGAGAGCTGCTTTTTTAAAAGAGGCTTTTGGCTTACACTGAGTGTGCTTGTGACTCTTGGCTAGGATGGTTCAATGCACACCAGCTGACTGTGCACACCACTCACGTACGTCTTGCCTATTCAACACCTGAGAGCAAGTATTTCATGATTATTTTTCACATATCCAAAAGTATGTTTAACCACCTTTCACATTTTTCTTTATGATTGGGGCTTGAAATAGAACAGAAGGGTTCCAGTTCCAAGTAAGATGGAGGAAGTACACCCTAATCTGTCCCTCCAAAGAATGCAGCCTGGACAGAATGTGTGGTGCAGCTGTTTGAGGACTCTGAAAAGTAAACAGCAGCAGGTAGATTAGGGGAAAACCCCAGAATTCCAGTTACCATTGAACAGTGCTAAATTTTCTGTTTTTACTCTGGTATATCCCCCGTTTAGACTCAAGGCAACCCAGAAGTGGGAACAAGGATAGAAAGAGCTCTGAGAAGTCCTCTGGTTCCGGGGAGAAAGGGAACTGGAATTCTCACACATTGCTGGCAGACTGCAGGATGGTACAGGTATTACTGTGAAAAACAGTTTGGCAGTAGTTTCTTTTCTTTTTATCTTTTCTTTTCTTTTTTCTTTTTGAGAAGAAGTTTCCCTCTTGTTGCCCAGGCTGGAGTGCGATGGTGTGATCTTGGCTCACTGCAACATCCACCTCCCAGGTTCAAGGGAGGGTATGACTGCAGAGGCAGAGCATGAAGGAACTGAGGGGAACCTGATGGAATTGTTCTGCATTCTTCATGGCGGTGGTTACCCGAAGTTGTATGTATGTTAAAATTCATAGAACTAGGCCAGGCGCGGTGGCTCACGCCTGTAATCCCAGCACTCTGGGAGACCGAGATGGGCGGATCATGAGGTCAGGAGATCGAGACCATCCTGGCTAACACGGTGAAACCCCGTCTCTACTAAAAATACAAAAAACTAGCCGGGCGAGGTGGCGGGCGCCTGTAGTCCCACCTACTTGGGAGGCTGAGGCAGGAGAATGGTGTGAACCCGGGAGGCGGCGTGAACCCGGGAGGCGGAGCTTGCAGTGAGCCGTGATCCGGCCACTGCACTCCAGCCTGGGCGACAGAGCGAGACTCCGTCTCAAAAAAAAAAAAAAAAAAAAAAATTCATAGAACTGAGTACACACAAAAGAATCATGTTTTACTGTGTGTTAATTTTCTAAAAATAAGAACTTACTTTAAAAATGGAACAGAAAATGCTTTTGGTAAAATGCATTTTGACTGCTGATTTGATAAGATTCAGGCATGGAAAAGTCTCAAAGATTATTTACTGTCACTGAGACCCCAGTGAGCCCTGCCACCCAATTGTCCTGTGAACCAGCAGCACTGGCATCACCACGGAGTTGGAACAAGTGCAGAATTTATCAAGGCCCAAATCAGAATCAAACCCTGCATTTTCATTTCATCCCCAGAGGACTCCTGTGCATACTGCAGTTTAACCAGCTCTGCTTCAGAATTACAAAGGCCGAAGCTAAGGTACAGCCTCCTCAGTGCTAGTCTCCCGAGAAGCCCACTGTGGTCGAGCATCTCTATTTGAACATTCCTTGAGGGTGTTCGTTTCTTTGGGGTATTGGCATCTCACAGTCCATATGTACTATTTTTCTCAGAGGCTGGTTAAGTGGACACTGGCACCGATTTCCGGCTTTCTCACAGTTTAACTTGCTTTGATTGCATCATCGAATTATATAAATTAGGTACGGAAAAACTCCATTAGGATTTGTGAGTCATTCCCAAGCAGATGCAAGCAAGGGAGTTCAGGGGGAAAGCTGAATCTCAGCCGCTGAGAAAGACAGGTTTACAGGCTTACAAGGGGCACATCCACTTCCCTCCCCGCCGAAGAGTAAGATGAACCTCCACCAGGTTCCCATCCACATCAAGTTCAACATCCTTTACCTTTGAGATGAATCTGCTGCTGCCTTGATGTGTTGTAACAGAAGGCAAGTATTGTAACTCCTGTTTCCTCAGCTCTGGGGCTCTCAGAGGCCACGACCTGGTCCTGAAACCTCAGGGTCTTAATCTTTTATATGCAGAGGGGAGGAGTTACAGAAATGCCTTCTCCTGACAAGGTTACACACACCAAATTAGCACTAGAATCATAGAGATCTTAAGTGTAAAACAGTCCCCATCCCCTGCTCCCTCTGCCCACCCCAGGGGCAGGTAAGCTTCTGCTCTGGCAGGTTCTACAGAGGCCATGACTTGGCTAGAAGTAAAGTTAATGTTTAGAACATGCCCTGGCTCATCTGTGAGCATGAATCCTTAGTGCATCAGGCCGGGCTGCCCTCCAGGGCCCAGGGGATAAAGAAGGCGGGATGGTGTGACAAGTCACACTTCTGGGTCACCTTACAGGATGACTTAGAGAGGCATGTTGTTCTTTGGAGCCGCTAATCCAAGGATAGAGCTGAGTGAGGACATTTCACAGTATGCTCAGTCCTCCCCTAATGGAGACAGGAACAGTGACCGTTTTCCAGTAAAAGGCATCAAACCAAAAAGTGAACCAAACTTTTGCTTCTCAGTTGAAAATGCCCTTTAGGCATTTCAAGGAGCATGGTATGTTCTTGCGTGAAACTTCTGGGGTGGTCCCCTGTCTGGAAACAGACCCAGTTCAAGTCATCATCACAGCCTGCTTTGCCACTAATAAGCCTGTTTCTGACTTAGGTTACAGGAGTCGCAGTGTTGATACTAAGGGCAACACTGATATCATTGTAATATAATTAAAGGCAGCAAAAATACCCATTTTGCTTTTTGTTTTTTTTCTTCTGATAAATGTTATACACAAGCAGACAGAATAGGATAAAAATGTTGTTTAAATATTTTTACTGTAAATTTAAATACCCATTTCCTCTTTAAAAAATTCACAGTGAAACTGAATATTTAATAGGTAGAAGATCATCTTGAAGGATTGGGTTGTTTTGTTTTTGTTTATTCAATGACATGCTAAATGCTGGGAAAGTCTTTTGCATTACACTAGATTCCTTAAACTTTATTGAAGCCGTTAGCAAGTCCTCCAAGAAAAAGCTTATAAAATTAAGCTTAAGTGTTGCTACTCCTCTTGGGCTCACAAATGATCGAAACGAAAAACAAAAACAAAACAAAACGCTAATCCACCAGCAGGAATTTCATAGCCTCCATAATTTGTTTACTTCAAAGCACAAACATTTACAGTTTTTCCAGTTCAGCTGAATTTTGAATCAACAACTTTCTGAATTTCCAAATTTCCTTTCTGTTTATAATTTATTTAATGGACAGAGACTCCTACAAGGATCTTCTCATTCAGACTGAAGCCAAGTATCTTATTTAGAGTTAGAGTATGTCTTTAATCCATGTTACCCACAGACTTTCTCTGAGAAGTTTAAGAAGACTCCAGAGACAGAAGAAAATTTCTCTGTGGGGTTAGGAGTGGGCCGTGGTTGATTCTGTGTCTCCGTAGCCACAGTTGTTGACTTGGACCTGTTCCTGAGGTGCTCTCTCACATTTCAGGGTTTACAGTCATACAGGGATGGAGGGAGAGATGTTTAGCGCAAGGTCCTTCCTGCTCTGACACCAGTGTTGCTCACATTATAGGCTAGGAAGCATTTAAAATTGTACTTAAAAAATCTCACAGCTTGGGAGGGGCCTGGGTGATAATAGAGCATGACCATTTCCCAATTTAGCAAGCTCCCATCTGTGTGTGTGTGTGTGTGTGTGTGTGTGTGTTTTATTTTTGCAAAGTTTTATATTTTCCACTTCATGATTTGATTTCAAATAGTTCTGATTAGCTCAAGCTATTTACACCACTGGAAACCAAGCTCCTACCTAATGACAGGGATCCCACTAGAGGAGGGAGCTGTAATAAACTAAGTGGACAGGCCCTTTGCTTCCGAAGCCAGTCCTGGCAGTGTCAAGGTTCCTTCGCTGATGCCCAGACCCCTGTGGAACAGGAGCCCCTTCCTGGCACGCTTCCTGGACAGGGGGTGTGGTTGCATTTACTAGTACTCACGGACATTTCTGACTCCCCTCCCTCTTCTGGACACAAAGAGGACTGCTTTACCCAACTTCCCTGCAGAGCCATGGGATCGGCTCTAGCAAAAGCCTGGAAAGGAGGCAACTTGTCCCCTGGTGTGAGATTTTCCATGCTTGCTCCTCCTACTGCTGTGAACCCCAAAGCCTCAGGTTGCTGGAAGATTGCATAAGCCTGGGACTGAGTAAGACCTTGGATGGCCCTGAAACGTTGGCTGTAAGTTTTGGGAAGAAAAAATAAACTGCCACAGTTGTATGTTTCAGAAAACTTGGTGTTGCCTATTATGGCATCATAAACCAGCCTTTCTGACTGACACACACATATATCAAATATAATTGTCAAAAACTAAGTATGCTGTGGCTGAAACTTTGTAAGATTTGTGTTGTTGCCATGGCAAAACTCTATCTCTACTAAAATACAAAAATTAGCTGGGTGTGGTGGTGGGTGCCTATAATCTCAGCTACTCAGGAGGCTGAGGCAGGAGAATTGCTTGAACCGGGGAGGCAGAGGTTGCAGTGAGCCAAGATCGCACCATTGCACTCCAGCCTGGGCAACAGAGTGAGACTCTGTCTCAAATAAATAAATAAATAAATAAATAAATAGATTTGTATTGTTGCTTAGTTTTAAAATTAACTACTATTTTGCCTGTTGATAAGGGAGTGTCAAAGGAGAAGGGTGCTTTTAATGGTGGGAGGAGGATACTGGTTACTACGCAAGAGCCACTGTCTACTTCTTTCCTGTGACTCAATCTCAGTTTTGCTTGGGTAACCCACCCTTCTTCACACAGCCACGTGCTTCACTGAGCCAGTCACGACAGTCCATGGGCTGGTGACACAACTCGAACGAAGGTGCTGGTTAAGATTTCCCTTTCCTAAAAAACACATGTTGGGAGTAGTCTTCCTTCTCCCTTGG